TTTCTGATCGATATGATTTTATAAATTTTTTTTAAACATTACTATATTGTATTTATTACACACAGAAACAAATAAAAATTAATATATTAAGTTTTCAAACCAAACAATAATTATATATTAAATACATTTTACATTTACAATTACAATATTATATAAAGAGATTTGAGACAAAATCTTGTAAAAAATAATTGATTTTTGAAATGTTGCTGCGTGAATAAGAAAGATGGGGAACAAGTATCAAAATATAGATATTAAATTTTGTACATACTGGATAATATAGGAAAATTGAAATAACTTTGATGAAGATTCGACAAATTATACGTGTGTCCAGTGGATTATCAAAACATTTTTCTTCTTTTATATTGTCTTTTTCTTTAATGACCAAAGTGAACATTAATGATTTGGCTGTGGCACAACAGAATAACACGCTTCTTAAGCGTTATAAAATAATAAAAGAAAGATGATAGGTACAAAAATTTGCAAATTGATTAAGAAAAGCAAATTTTTTACCTGTTATACATATAAAATATTTCGGTATATATACATGTATTTTTATTAAATAATATATGTATGTATTGTATGAGTATATAATAAAAATGTAATTGTGTTATATATTATTATATTAGTAAAATAATAAGTAAAAAAGGGGCCTTAGAACTTGATAATTTAAACAGCAAAGAAATATGAAACTCTTTCGTTTAAATTATTCTGAACATATTTTGTACATATTTTTAGAAGTAAAAAGGTACATACGTACTTGCAAACAATGGAATAGAGAATGTAATAAAACCCAGGTTTGTACAAATATTTAATAGTTTTATCAATATAAAAAAAAATACGAACTTCATGTATTGTATATGAGTATGTTTCTTTGTGTATATTAAACGCTATTAATATTTCAAAGGCATTATTATCCAGATTTTTAGTACAACACAATTTTGTAACTATTCTATTGCTTTCAGAAAAATAAATTTATTTAAAAGATAAATTAAGATATTGAATGATACATAAAGAACAGAAGGAAAGGACGGGGACGATTTTTTGACAAAATCAATACATTTTTTTATAATATTGCATTTAAGTTTAATTATATAAACAATTATATAAACATAAAATTGCATTTCTTTATTTTTGCATCTTAACAAGAAATCGAAATTTTATCATTATCACACGATAACATAATAAAAAATATGTTTTCGTTTTTAAATATGCATGCCAATAGACAAGACTGAGTTGTAGTAATGAAAGAGACTTATTTTTATTGAAATGTGATTTATTTTGTCAATCACATTTTTGGATAATACAAAACTCAGATATTGCTTAATCATGAGTCCATTATCCTACTTTTAAATTATACAATTATTACTATAGCTGTCAGGCATACTGTACATTACTTTCTATACCAAACTTGTGTAGTTTGCATGCGTTTTATCTTTTTCTGCAGCTGTAGAATACCGTACAACAATGCTTCAGCTGTTGGGGGACAACCTATACGATTGAAAATTTATGTGTTATAGACAAAAATTATAAAAATATAATGTACATATAAAATGGTATTTTATATGTAGTTTTAATTTGTATTGAGAATATAAATAATGGCAAATTTACCAGGTACATAAATGTCCACGGGTATTATCCTGTCACAACCCCTGACTACAGAGTAGCTATAATGATAATATCCACCTCCATTCGCACAACTTCCCATGGAGATAACCCATCGAGGCTCCGGCATCTGATCATAGATCTTTCTTAGAGCAGGTGCCATCTTATTTGTCAATGTACCAGCAACTATAATAACATCTGACTGTCGAGGCGAGGCTCGGAACACAACACCAAATCTGTCCATGTCATATCTAGGTGCTGCAATGTGCATCATCTCTACAGCGCAACAAGCTAAACCAAAGGTCATTGGCCACAATGATCCCTTGCGTCCCCAATTCAGTAAATCATCTGCTCTGGCTAAGACATATTCTGCCATGTTATTGGGTTTTGGAAAAGGACTATATGGCTCGACCTTTGGCTTATCTGGCAATTGTGTCTTAGCCTCTTGCACGGACGTCTTCGTAGAGGCATGCTTTGTTTGAACTTGCAATGCAGCGGCAGATCCTGATGCCGCTACATTATTACGCACCAGGGACACTAGTCCCTGAGGGACATTATCTATAAAAGAGGAAAAAAAATAAGAGATTTATAAAGAGTATATTAAATCTAGATGAAGATCTGTTCTTTTTAGCTGAACTTCTTGAATCATTCATTTATTTTTCTTTTCTCTAACATGAAGAGAAAGAGAAAAAATGAAACGTAAAAGAAATTCAATCAATATTTATTTCTATTAATGTAGATTAACTTTAATCTCGATTTACATTTATATTTAACTTTTTCTAATTTTTCAAATTAGAAAGAGAAAAGCAGATTAAAGAAAGATTAGTAGAAAAATGATAGAAATAAGGATAAAAAGAGACTGAGAGACTGAATTTCAAATTCGAAAATTGTGTCAACATTTGGATGGAATCTTTTAAAATAAACAGTAACTACGCAGATAAACAAATGCGCATTGAATTGTTTTATGATATATGTTATGATATTGTGTATATTAGAGTGCAATCTTATGCAACAGCATTATAGCAGACAAAAAATATGCAGGATGCGAAATTTACTTCGATATCATGTTGATTGTTTGGATGCACATTTTATATGAGAGAGGATTAAACGAGTACTGCATTTAATAATGTGTTAGCATTGAACATTGAGGTATTTAGTTAATGGCGATTGGCACAATTTGCAATGAAACACTCACGTGTAACGGAACGTAACATTTTCGACTCAGACTACAGGCTTAACTACTGAGTGCTACATCGCAGGTTATACGGGCGCATGCGCAAATTATGATTAAAAACCCACACAAAAGGGAACTTGGCTATCTCTTGACTTTTTCTTGTAACTATCGAATTTCTCCTCGTGCATTTAGCGCCAATTGAAAAAGTGAGTAAGCTACATGATCATATTTATTTTTCTACATTGTCGGTAAGCCACTTTTGGCACATGATAAAAGCAGAGAAAAGACTGAGGAGTGGCCATCCCGATTTTTTCTCGCGGGACCATTGAAACTCGCGTATCTCTTAGTATTCCTAAGTTCCACTTTAGCATATAGCATATAATGCACTGGAGAATATTTTTCAATTTACATTTCGCAATTTACACGACGTTTTTATGAATAGAATGTAATATAAAATTAACTCTTAATATATTCACAGCATATTAATTAAACTTTGTTATGGAATATAAAAATTTTCAAACATATAGACAAATATCGTCGAAAATGTTTAGTACAATTTATTCTTTTATAATCAAAACAATATACATACGATAATACATTATTTTTGAACAATATACACACGATAATTACAATTATTTTTATAATAATGATGTAATCCAAATACACATCTTTAATATTATACTTTTAGATACTTTTAGATACTTTTAGATTTTTATTCTAATTTATTCTAATTTGCATAGTTGCATTTTTTTAATACATAATATATAACAACAGTTAGTTTATTTATTATAACAATTGTTTATCGTAATACACATACATATAATATATAAATACATATTTATCTTATAATAAGTCATAACGAGTCTATTAAACAGTAAATGTACGATAATAAAGTATTCAGAAGGTATATAAAACATAACGATTACAACACTCAATATGGAGTTAACAAAAGATGTTATAGCGGCTCATATCAGTTAGACATTATTCGTAATACTGAATATTTCGTTTTACACACATTGTAGCCTTGTCGCCTTGAAAATTGTTTACGCGCTGTGACGTAGCGCGTGTTTACGAACGCTCCACGTGTTATCATTCTTTAACTGGCTTTCGTTACGGGCAGATAGTAATCGCTCCGCGTTTCTTCGCATTTTTTCATTGTTAAATGATATCACATATTTTCATTGTTAAACGCTGACATTACATGAATATAATAGTAAATAATTATTAACGATTAATTAAACATATCGAAACAACTGACTTTTTAATAAAGTTATATGCATATATGTCGCGTGATTTATTCCTTCGAAATTTATGATTTTTATAATTTTTATAAGTAATAAGATTTTTATAAGTAATAACTCCTCTGATATACGGCCTTGACGTGGCGGAGGGGTTGAGTATTCCGAGGGGTTTCATACCTCAGAGAAGCCAACAATATCCATTACATCGTTATTAATAACATTAATATCATCATTAAATAATATTATTATTATTATTATTATTAATACAACATAGCCACAAGTCATCCATCCAATGGCTTCTAGGTGGCAAAATTCGTTTCACGCCATTATTCATTGATTTTTAATCGACATTCCATCGTCGATTTAAGTAAGTGAACAAACTGTAGAGTAATCATTCATAAGTGTATCGAAGCGATAATTCTTTAACAAAATATATATAT